TGTGGACAAACCTGTCATTTTAAATATACTTTAGAATTTCCTCAACATCGAAATCCAACACACACCTGTACTACTCATGAAGTTATTCTTGGGCTTTGTCATATAGACATCACCTTTAATTGGTTTGTTTTTTTTATGTTGGTATTGTCTTCAAAATGTGGAGGCATGAAGGACAAAGTATTCTTCCGACTTTATCTGCTTAAGAAGTTTCCTTTTTAAACATAGTTGCAGAGGAGTAATGGGAAAAGTTGCTGTCAATGCAAAGTAGGGCCAATTAAAAACATTTGATGTAGAAGGAGAGCTTTTCAAAGGGATGAAGTCCATGTTTCATGATCAAAGCTGTAGAAAATATATTTTTGGATGTCACGCCTTTGAACTGTTTCAATCAAAAAAGAGGAAATCCACAACTCAAGAGTTTGTTTATTAAGAGAAAATTCTACAATGTGGACATCTTAAAAATTCTACCTTATATCCAAGAATTACTCATTTCCTTCATAAAAGACAAATTAGATTTTTTTTGTCAAAAAAAAAGTGGGGAGAAATGTCAGAATTCGGACTCAATGATCAGTTCCTGAACTGAAGAAAGGTCAAAAGATATTTTCGAGATCTTGAGAGTGATAAGACTCCTTTGAAGTGAGTGGGAAATATATGTGAGTAAGACTGAAACAGGCTGATGGTCATATGATAAAACGGTCTTAATGCGTCTTTCTTACGAAGATATTTTTGACTTGTCATAGCAGGAAAACGATTAACGATCACTTCCTTATACGTGTCCAGTGAAGCAGCATGCTCAGTGTCACAGTCCTGGCACAGACGCACCTAGACATTAACAAGGTTATCAGTTATGCCCATGTTTGACAAGTCAAAATGTCTTTCTAGGAGAAAGATGCAGACGATAATGGGGCACTTGTCTGGTTTAGTCATCTTAAACTAAGTATTATAAACTCCACCGTTCTTCTCTCTGAATGCCTTGGATTTCCTTATTTTTTGCATGCCTCTCTGTAACTTTCGAACCCTAGAATATATCTGCAAAACACAAACACTTCAGACTTCCTTCTTTTTGATTTGATGACCGATAGCTTTCATTTTTTCTCATGTCTTCCCCTCATCATTTTTTTTTTTTTCCACAAAACAAACTGAAACAAACTTGTATTTAAGGACTCAAGGAAATGTCCGGACACATGAACGTCCAGCGTTTTTATAATCTCATCCCAGATCGGCGACTACATCAACACTTGCTATGTATTGCATAGTCATCATTTGGGGTTTTGCATTAGTTTGACTGTAAGTCATGAGCCAGTGCATGCTATCTTCACCAGGTGTGGCTGAAAAGGAGCCTACTGATCTTCTGAACAAGAGCAAATGTTTGGAGTACCTGGCTGCTCTCCGTCACGCCAAATGGTTTCAGGTAAGCGCATCACCAGCATGTCAAAATGTCCTCAAAAGGTCTAATTTGTGATGAGATATTTATGATATATATAATGTGTTGTATTGCAGAAGTGGACGAGTGGGGGAAACTTGATATTTTTAAGGCTAAAAACAGACTGGGATTTTGTGTTAAAGCAATACCAATGAGGATGTCTTTTGTAAGCAGACATTACTCAGAATATTCTTTCTTCTCCGTGGCTTTACAGAAGAAAAGTCTCGCTGTTTTACTAATGTGGCGTTCAAGATTATTTATATTTCGTTATCTGATCAGTCCAAACATAATGACAACAAAATTCTTGCTAGGACCGATTCAAGTTGTGATAAAGAGCATGTACGGCCATCTTGTTCTCAATCATTAAGTTTTCTTTATAGTTTTGTGTACAATCATAAATGATTTTGCCTTTTTTGTTATTAAAATACACACATTTAAAGTCACCAGTTGGATATTATAGGGACATTGTCAGAGGTCCAGTCTATCTAAAAATAAATGCCCCTTTCTTGTTAATTCATGTTTTTTCTGAAGGCTCGTGCCAACGGCCTGCAGTCCTGTGTGATCATCATTCGGCTGCTGAGAGATTTATGTCAGCGGGTTCCCACCTGGGGAAAGATGCCCGGCTGGGTAAGAAGCTTCCACTCTCTGTTGTGTTTTAATAAAAAATGTTTAGTGCAGTAGGAACCTTCTCCTAGTGCGGTTTTATAATATAATGTGTCATTTCTGCAAGCATGTGCACTGTTGTTCGCTTGATTAGGGTTTTCCGTCCTCTTCTTTTGTATGTCTGTCTCGTCTGATGTTGTCGATGAGAGAATAATAACATAAAAAGTAAATTCACAAACATTCACAGCGCTATCAGTGCTGAATCCATGCTGTATTAGCATCTTGTGTGAGGAGATTACCCACCAAATGTCTTGAGCAGGTGTTTTAATGCAGATTTAAGACCGGTAGAGGAGTACCTATAAGGGTACTTCAATCAGCCGTCTGCAGTGTCTTCTTCCATTCAGTGTGTCTGCTTCCCTCCATGCATTCCTCTATTCAGGCGATGGAGCTGTTGGTGGAGAAAGTGATCAGCAGTGCTGCAGGCCCGCTCAGCCCAGGAGAGGCCATGCGCAGAGTCCTGGAGTGCATCTCCACAGGCATCCTGCTACCAGGTCAGACAAATGTTAATGTGATGTGAATAGGTCGATTCTTTCACAGGATACAGAACTTTTATCACTTTTTATACCGGGGACATTTTCATCGTCTATTGTGCAACGAAATCAGCTCGTGTCAAACTTTAACCATTTAAAGGAGAATAATTCTGATTCAGTAACTTATATTATATTATTTACATGTTAAACTTATTCCCCTTGTTCAGATGGACCAGGTTTGATGGACCCTTGTGAGAAAGACACTACGGATGCTTTGGAAAGCATGATGCTTCAAGCCAGAGAGGACATAACTGCCAGCGCACAGGTACTGAAAAGCCTGGATTGGCTGGGAGGCTTCACTTTTGATAATGATGCTTAAACGGGACACATTAGTTTGTTTTAGATGTTTGTTTTCAGCACAGCAGCAGTGTGAGGTTCAGATAAAGACCTCGTGAGAGGGTTATTTGTGTTACCGCTAACGGAACCACGCACATTTACCGTGTTTGATTTTTGTTGACATGGAAATCAACTAATGGTCGGAGGAATGAGAGGACTTTTAAAATAACGTTATCCACAGTGAACCTGGTAGTCTGTGTCTGAGGGACATCTGCTGCAGGGGAAAGGAGAGAGGACCACAAACTTTGCTGCACGTCATACCCTCTCCTCTTGTTTCCTCTGTGCCATTAACTGTCAAATAAAATGCCAATACAATCATCTACAAACAAATAACTACAACTCTACAAACCTACATGTCCCTTTCCTGTTTTCTCTGGTTCCAGCATGCTCTGCGGCTGCTGGCTTTCCGTCAGATCCACAAGGTTCTGGGTATGGACTCACTGCCGGCGTCCAAGGCCAGCGCTCGCAACCGCAAACGTAGACGGGACGGCAGCGACACGGGCGACGGGGAGGGGGAGGGCAAAAAAGACAAGAAGGAAGAAGCAGAGAGCGCTTGACCTCTGCCTCCAGAGCAGGAGGCGTATGCTAGTTTTAGAGACTGGTAGAATGTCACAACTTTCAACTTTTCTTATCTTGAAAACAATCTTAACACGCAGCTACACACATAGGAATATAACTGACTGTACATGTTACATGTCTACCCTTGAATTAAGAGGAGTAAAGTGTGGGGAGGAGACTGACGCTTGAGAATCTGTACTAGAAATCCTTCTCTCGTATAGTCATTTCCCACAGATTTAGTGTCTTTTAAAGTGTGCAGAGAAAATTGACAAAGTAAAAAAAAAAAAAAAAATACATGAAAGTGACTGACTATAATTGCACACTAACTACTGACCCTCCTTCCTGTTTATTCATAATAGTTAAACCACTACCGTCAAGTACAGTTATATTGTTTTCTACTATGTTAAATCATCAGCACCTTAAGCTGTATTTTCAGCAGAGTCTGAACTCACACGCTTGAGTCAGGACTCTCTGAACTAACGTCGGTGCATGACATTTGTAAACTTGTTTTTTTCAGTCTGTGTTAAACAAAGACAAGAGGAGGGTTCAAGTTTAGAAGCTTTGAAAGTGTGGGAAAGGTCCCAGAGGACTGACTGTGTTTGAGATCTACGTAAATACAGTACCGTGATGTTCATTGTGCCGAAGAGGACACCGTAGTAAAATCGTGTGCCGCTGTTGAGCTCACCTCTACAGTCGAGTTGAAAGGCGACACTAAAAATGACTTCGCTTTGAAAATACGTCATTAAGGCTTTTACAAGAAACGTACAAGAACATGGAAGTTCTGCTTTTTGTGTTTTTTCTATGGCGGTCACACTGGAGAGTCAATCTGTCTGAGCAGAGAGAGAAGTGTTGTGTTGGACAGTCTGTAGCATGCTGAGGGAATGAAGCACTTAAGAAATTACAATGTTACTGAATGCAGCCATAATTTTATCATTTGAATAATATGCCTAGTAATCGTTTTTCTTCCAGAGTACGGTTAGCAGAAGAGAGAAGCTTTATTCTGAGAAAGGAGACTGAATATCTACTATAATGATCAAGTAGTCTTTTCACTTTCTTCCTTGTGCCTGCATCATGTTGTGTATTTACAGAGGAAGGGGAACATTTATGAGTTGTTTTTTGTCAGGTTGATATTGTAATGATATAATTTCACAAAGATGTGGGACAGGGAAGGGACAGTTGTACAACTCTTTGGCTTAAAAGTTGATGTGAGAGAGAATTAATGTGCGGTTTTTAGTTTGATTTTCATTCATCAAGAGCATCACATAAGTATCGCTTATTTTATTTCTAAAGGAAATTCTATTTTGTGTTTAAATGGAAAGTGTGAACGTTGCTGTCCTTTATTATTTGAATGTCTTTGTAGTGTTGCCTAACATTAAGGGGAGATATTAAAACACTTTTAAGCCATTTTGTGTCCTGTTTTGTTTAACCAATTAAACGCTTTCTACATTTTCGAGAGACGCGATTATTTCATTTTTTTTAATCAGGAGAAGGAAGAGAAGTCACCTCCAGCGTCACTACTTGTGCCTCCTCATGAAATATAAACCACATTTTCCTAAATAAAGAGGAAGTGGTCCGACCGACTGATATCAGCGCGCACTACACGTCTGAGACATGAATGAGACATGAACATCCACAGCATCGGTTCCTGCCGAGTTGTTTTAATGGAGAAATGTCACCGCTGATCGAGTCGTAGCGGATTTCTAAAGTCGTCTTCCGGGTCCTGTTTACGGACCCAGCTGTGCTGAAGAGGAATGTTCAACATCTGCCCGGAGAGCCGCAGGTACTGAAATATGTATGTCGTTAAGTAACCAGACTGAACAAGCCGTCCGGGGCGTTTTAGTTTAAATGCATGCGACACGAGCAGCTGGGCACAGTCTGTCAACAGCCTGCTACCCGCTAACATCTTCATCTCTGCTTAATGGTGTGTTTGGATCCTCATTGTCTTGACCACAGCTACTCTTAAGATCTCTATTTATGCACTGCATTTTATTTAATTTCATGTTTTGTTACTGTTCAGAGACCATTCTTCTCCTCGACAGGTGTTCAACACAGAATTATCCAACAATCCTGCCCTGCTGATGGCAAAGGTAAGCCTGTGTGCTGCGTGCACCACATTATGTGGTTTGTCTTCACACATCAGTCACCATACAAGGAGCTGAATCAAGTGCACTTTAATATCTGGTGTGACGTTTTGGTAAAAATGATGGGGCTTTGAAAAAGAGACATTCAAGAATAGCAAAAAAAAAATACACATGAGATTATTATAAATTAAGAAAAACCGAAGTCTCAACTACAGTCTGAAGTTCAGTAATGTTCGAATAAAATGTAACGGGCTGTGAGATGATTGGGCTGTGTATCAGAGTGCATGTTGTGTTTTAAAGTATATTCCATGTGAACTTGTCATTGGTTAAACATGGAGCATAATCTTGAGCTACATGCGAGTACCGCATAACCACCATTACTGATTAAAGGATACATTTGGGTAGCCTTTTAGGCGAAAGTTTTTTGGGTGACATATTATATTGGCGGGTTATAAATTCCTAATGGTTTCCTAAGACGACTCCTATAAAGACTCATGTAACTGTCAGTGGTTATATGTAGAGACATAACGAGATCAACCTCAGGTATAAGTCTTGGATTTAAATGAAATAGTTCTTTCAAGATCAATCTTGAAAATGAATAATGGCTAAAATGACAGAGTGGGTTTCCCTATCATTAAATATACCAAATTACATAGTTATTTGAAGAAAACTTAACTATTTGGGAATAATTGTTTTGTAAAATAGATATGAAACATTTGCCATGTTTAATATGTTGTTTAAAACGGCCAGCCTGTCGAGCCTAACTATTACAATTATTAATATTTCTCTGCTCCTGAAGATGAGCTGGGCTGCAGGTACACAGTGTGTGGCCAAGGGGGACCACAGGAAACCAAAACCTGGAGAACTGGCTTACCACAAAGGAGACATCCTCACTATTGTTGATGCCAGCACGGTACTGTCACGTTTAAAAGGGGCTACAAACGGTTTGTTCAGTTCATTTTTGTATTTTTTTCCCCCATTTGACACAAGACTTGTGCTCTTTTCCAGAAGAAGGGATATTACAAGGTCAGACTCAACACCACAGGAGAGGAAGGACTCATAAACTCCACCAATGTGCGCAAAAGAGAGGCTCTGCGCGTTGACCCCAGCCTCAGCCTCATGCCGTAGGTCTCCTCCTCCTCTCATTTTTGCCATGACTGTCTCACATCAGTAGGATGCAGCCATGTTTACATGCGGTTAACACAATCCATGTGACTGTGCCACAGAGACAACTTTAGCTGTTGGCTTGGTAAATGATGAAAACTCATCTTGTGACCAAATTGTGTGGTTTTGGACATGCTATAACAAACAGAGTGATTAATACAAAGACTAACTTCCTTTTCTTGTGTGTAAAACACTGAGATAAGTACACCTCCTGTTTTTTATAAAATTATCATCTGTAAGATATGTGGAACTTATGAGACAGATGGGTTTTTTTTATTGTGTGTGTGGCCCACTCTGTCCTGTCTTTCACCAGTTGGTTTCATGGGAAGATCTCGGGTCCAGAGGCGGTGTGTAAGCTGCAGCCGGCCGAGGACGGCCTGTTCCTGGTTCGAGAGTCCATCCGCCATCCCGGCGACTACGTCCTGTGTGTCAGTGTCTCTGGAGGTGTTATCCACTACCGGGTGATTTATCAGGACAAGCAGCTGACCATTGATAACACACAGTATTTCTACAACCTCATTGACATGATAGAGGTAAGCGGCTCCTGGTTAGATTCCTTTTAAGTTGTGTAGGAAGGACAAAAAACAACCTGAAACACATATTCATTTGTTATTCCTACCTCAAGTTTTGCTGGAGTTTTGACCCCTTCAATCAGAATTGAGCCAGATGTTGCAGCGCAGATAATCAGTTCACCAATTCAGTTTAGCTCTTTCTTCCATGGAAACTCCAGACCAGTAGTGGAACAAGCGACTCTACAGCTCTGTGAGGCTGGTCGTTCTTTACCATGTTCACCATCTTAGTTGATCATGTTAGAATGTTTAAATTTGCTTATTAGCACTAAACACAAAGTATATGTGAAGCTGATGGGAATGTCATTAGTACTGCAGTTGGCCATAAATCAAACTATTAGACTAAGTCTTTACGATGGCAATAGAAGAAAAACTCATCCTAAGGTGGACCAGAATGTGTGTACCAAACTGCATGGCGAACCATTGTCAAGACATTTCAATAAATACCATAAATATCAAACTCATGGTGGCGCAATCCTATAAATCTGGACCAAATGCTGCAGTTGGGTCTTTCAAAACATAAGGCAGAGATCTGGATCCATTTCATGCCAAAATTCAGGATCATTTGGATCCCACCTCAGAGGTGGATTTGATGTAGATTGACAAATAGCCTAGGCTTCTCCTCCTCTCCCAAATATTGTTACCCAAGATATACATTAATTGATAATCAGGTGAATGTGCCTTTCAAATGTGAGTGTTTTAATTCTAGTTTATTTAGCTAGTTTTAGTGTAATTGGGTAACTGTTAATCAATGCAAAATGGTTAGGCCACACAATTCTTCCTGAAAACTGCTGTAAATACAACTGTAACAACAAACACAGGCAACATGTTTCCAAAGTCTAGTTTCAATTAAATATTGTAACTACATTATTTGTACCAAAAAATCCAACATATGACCACTAGCATGGCTAAAAGTCCCTCTAATGTTCACATTGAGGCCACAAATGATGACAAGGGGACATAAATAGACAGTTTGTCATGTTAGAGGGATTGTGGACCGCAGCACTCTGATGCCTGCTGTATTTTTGGCCAAAGTGTTTGTCAGCTTGAAAACCAATCAGCATAACTGACGCCAGAGTAAAAATACATCTTTCATGTGTCAAAATGAAGCAGAGGCAGGAAAACACATGAAGCCTTTTTAAGGTCAGTATTTGTGTCTGTGTGAGGGTGCATTGGAAGCTTTGCTGCCATGAGGGTTTGTGGATAGACTCCAAAGAGATGGCCAGCTCTTATCTGCGAGCCACAGATGGCTTCAGGCCTAAGTCAGACCGGCTGACTTACTCCTGCGGGGAAACAGATGAATATTTGGGCTGAATCATGTAATAAATGCTATTCTGTCTCAATGCTGGCAGACTGCTGACGATACAAAACCAGGCTCTGATGTGTCGCTGTGTCAGAATTTACTTTTGTAATTTAATTCAGCTGCCGCCTCTCATTGTGTTTTGTCATTAGGAAACCTTACAATGACATTGAAGAGTATGCATACACAAACTGTGTTGTGCAGTTTTGTTAATGATTTCTAAAGCTAAATATAGGTTATACTTTTTTTTTTTTGTCTAACCACAGTTCTTATCCGTTTTCAAATGGCTGAGTATTGTGACGTGTTATTTTGTCTTAGTCAGAGTTTCAATGAGTTCATTGTTCTCTTTAGAGCTAGATTAAATATTAATGTACTCTTCATTCATAGAACTTAAGTATGTGGCATACTTTACACGGCACTTCAGACTGTGGAGAAGGACGATACCAGATATCATATACAATAACATCTGCTGTAAATAACTGAATGTCTGTTGTTGTGTGTTTCCATTTTTGCAGTTCTACTCAAAGAACAAAGGCTCCATCGCTACAACTCTTCTGAAGCCAAAACAAAAACAAGGGACCAAGTCAGCTGAGTTGGAGCTGTCTAAAAGTAAGTCTGAGGTCAAGAAAACTGCATCTACAGATCAAATATAATAACGATTACAATTATGAAGGCTTGTAAAGGTGTGAGGCTCACAGTTCATCTCTCTCTCTCTTCTCCAGCTGGATGGTTGCTGGACATTACGAAGCTCAAACTGGGAGAGAACATAGGAGAAGGGGAGTTTGGTGGTGAGCTTTTATTTGGTCCTCCTTTTATTATCTTTGTTTCCAACACCACAACATTTATAGTGAAAGGTGTCATCAAACATTTACAGAAAAGAATAATTCTGTCTTAGTACGGATGTACTAAACACTATGTGTGACTCTCAACCCCAGCTGTTTATGAAGGAGACTATATGGGCCAGAGGGTGGCAGTAAAGACTATTAAATGTGATGTCACAGCGCAGGCCTTCCTGCAGGAGACCACAGTCATGACGTGAGTCTGAAGACTTCCTCAATTTTACTGTTTAATGCTTTGACAAAACACTTTCAAGAGCTGTGAATTCAATCCTAATAAAACCAGGTTTTAGCGAGTTTGCTCAATGAATAAATTAATAATTGTATCTTATTGTACAAGTGATCATATTATTTTGAATCAAATGTAACTTGTTGGTATTTTTATTCCCGCTGTCAGTGTTTAATGTGAATTCACTCTTTACAGGAAGCTCCAGCATAAAAACCTGGTGCGATTGTTGGGGGTCATTCTTCACAAAGGGCTTCATATTGTCACGGAGCTCATGACTAAGGTACAGTTAACACATCATTTATCAGCAGGTCTCAGTTGGAGCTGAAACACGATTATAATAACCTGGAGCAATACAAAAGTAGGCAACATAGTAAATTAAGATTAAGTGTGTGATGTCACACAATGAAGCAGAAAATATAATCACATATAGTAAGTGAAAGCCTATCGACATTGGTGTCTCATATATGAACAGAAAAGTGGACTCACCAGCTATGAATATATCTAAATTTTACTGCAAATTCACCGCCAGCAACCGTGAGCTATCCCCTGAATCTGAAACAAATTTTCTCCCATGTGAGACGACAGTCCAAAAATCCAAACAATTACAGACTGCCCTGCTGCCACTTGGAGCCGCCACTGATGCAATGGTTTTCCAATGATGCAACTTTAAGGAGTCAGGGTCTGACTTCTTCTTGTGTTCAATGATAGTAGGACAAAATGCAGAAGCTCATTGTAGTTGCTTGGCCTCAAGTACAGTCATATAATGACTTTAGTTGACATTTTAAAATATTTGCAAACCAAACGGTTAAACCATGCTTGTTGTATTTCTGTCTGCATGTAGTATTTCTCATAATACTAACTGAGAAATGTTCTAATATAACCTTATTTGAGTATTTTATATGTGTCATATATGCATATGTGTTTGTGTTGCAGGGAAACCTTGTCAACTTTCTCAGGACAAGAGGACGCTCGGTTGTGAACTCAGTTCAGCTGCTCCGCTTTGCTCTGTGAGTTCAAACGTCAGCGGCAAACTTAAAGATTTGAACGTTCTACACAGCAGCAATCACAGTGTGTGCAAAGTAGTACATTGTGTGACCGCTGGGTCCATAGATGCAAAAACTGCTAGTTAACTGTATATACTTTACACTGTTTGTGTGTGTTCAACAGTTACATGTACAACATTTGAATGACGATTGTTTCTGTGTGTCTACGTGTATGTGGTCAGTGATGTGTGTGAGGGGATGGAGTACCTGGAGGCCAAGAAGTTGGTTCACAGAGATTTGGCAGCTCGTAACGTGTTGGTCTCTGACGACAGCCTGGCTAAGGTCAGCGACTTCGGTCTGACCAAGGTGGACTCGAAGGTGTCAGATAACGCCAAACTGCCAGTCAAATGGACCGCCCCCGAAGCTCTGAAGAAAGAGGTTGGTTAGAAGAGTGTCACTTTTATTCAACCTGTGATTTGTTTTCATTTTCCATATATCTGTTTCTGCCCCTCTGTGAAATCTCTGTCTCTCTGAGACCTCTTTTTGGTACTAAAATATTTCATATATTTGAAATAATGCTGTATTAATGGTTAAAGTGTAACTTCCCCTGCCGGCCACCAGCCCGCTGTCATTAACATTGATTCACCAGACTTTGTAATGCTGATAGCTTAATTTCCAGCAGACAGACAGGAGAGAACAGGCTTGTGCTGGGACTGTAATACTACACAGCGGTTATGGAAAAATTAAAAATCATAGACGCTGTGGGGAGAAGCCAGGAGGGGGTCTGATTAGAGGGCGTTAATATTCTTTTATTTCATGACGTAGATTAGTCCCAAACGGTCAATTCTATCTCAAAATTGGACTTGCAAGATTAGGGCTCATTTTAAACGGTAGATGGCGTTTTGAGCCATTTTCAACCATGAAATGCAGATTTTTATAGATTTGGCATTGTCCAGTATTGACTTGTTTCATCAGAGTACAGTCATATCATTTATTTTATAATATAAGAAACACATTTAAGTGTACAGTTACTCTTTAAATAAGTAATAATCCATCAATGCTTTACATGTTTCTATATTTGCTCCCATGTTGCAGAAATTCTCCACAAAATCAGATGTTTGGAGCTACGGTGTTCTCCTGTGGGAGATCTTCTCTTACGGTCGTCAACCTTATCCTAAGATGGTAAGTAGCACCAGAACATGTCACTATTATACTGTCATGATGTGTGTGTGTGTGTGTGTGTGTGTGTGTGTGTGTGTGTGTGTGTGTGTATACAGTATATGGGTGATATCATGTCACTAGACACATTACAGACATGTCAGTTACAGCTCAAACCGTGTTAAACCAATAGTTTGACATTTTGGGAAATACACTTATTCACATTCAGTACCCCTTTCATGTCCGTCCATTGAATATGAAGCTACAACCAGACGGTTAGCTTAGCTTAGCAAAAAGACTGGCGACAAGGGGAAGCTAGCATGGCTCTGTCCAAAGACAATACAATACAATCTTCCTAAAACTCATTAATGAACACGCCATGTCTCCTTTGTTTGATCTGTAAAAAAAAGTCGAACAATTCCTTTAAATCAATCAGACAAAATCCATCTTCTATCTGTAAAGTCATGTGACCTCTATGGAAGATTTGTGCCTAATGCTTACAATCTATTGTTCTTCAGGTTTGATTAATGTTATTAATATGACTTTATTTAAGTTTGATACTTTGGCTTTATCTTTAAACAACTGCACGACTTCTCTTTGTCTGACAAGTTACAGACCTCAATCTTGTCTGTATCGCTCTCCCTGCTCATGAATAAATAAAAAGCAGATTTTGAGAAATGATACCCTATAATGAATAGAAAAATGGAAAAAAAACAAGACTTCAGATAAATCTTTACTCTCTGTCCTGTAACCAACAGGAAAGAGTATCAAGCTCGTAAGGTAACTCTGTGCCGTATCAGGATTTGTGTCTCTAGCAAGTCGTAGGTGTGTCAGTCGACTGTTACCTGGCTTTGTGGTCAGATTCGTCTGGAGGCCGCCGTCATTTTCTGGATCGACTTACTGTGTCTGAGCAGGAAAACCTCTTAAGGTGACTAAGTTCATAGTAGTGCGTCAGCAAGGATAGAGGTTTACTGAACATTGTGTGGGACCATTTAAAAAAGAAAGTAATCTTGTTATTGTCAGCCTAACTAATCTACTTTATGAGCGGTTTGGGCATGGAGGAAGAGGACGCTACATCGTACACAAAGACTTCATAGCAGGAGGTAACAGGCAAAAACAGGAAGTAGGTTGTAGTCTCATGAGGGCTGGATCATGTCGACACTGGAACGGAGAGACTTTGGAAAAGAAGAAACAATGCTACTTAAACACCGATCTGTTTGTCATACTAGGCGCTCTCAGGTAATCCGTGCTCAATGACTGCTGAGGCCAGCGGCTCAATGAGGACATCAGGATCAGCCAGCATTAATGGAAGGGACAGTTAGGTTGTGTCCTTTGCACCTTACGCCAGGTGGTGTCCTTTTAAATGCTGATGATTATCTCCTAATTACAGCCTGTTTGTAGATATATACACAAGTTGATTTATTTAGGTCAAGTTTGTGCTCCCCTTAATTAAACTCTTCAACTGGTCATTTGTTATCTGTTGGCAGAGAGACCGGGAGGAAAAGTGTGCGTGATTATTATCTGTGGTTTTAACATATATAATAAGAAAGGTATGACACAAATGTTTCATTTCACACACACAGTACCGATGAGAGCGATTTTTTTAAATGTAGTACTCAGGATTGTGAATACTTATAATACTTCACAATATATGATTTCTTCACCTCCTTTCTTTCCCTGTTCATGTAGTCTCTGAAGGAGGTGAAGGAGAGGGTGGAGGGGGGCTATCGCATGGAGGCTCCAGAGGACTGCCCCCCCGTTGTCTACTCGCTGATGAGGATTTGCTGGGAGCAGGAGCCACGACGAAGACCTGCCTTTCACAAACTGAGGGAGAAACTTGAGCGAGAGATGGGCCCGGGCCCTGGGTCTGAGTGTCGGGATGGGATGAGGTCTGGTTCTGGATGCTGATCTTGGTTGTGAATCTTTGAGCTCACTATGGTGGGAATAGACTGGCGGCTGATGCACAGATAATACACACATTGTAACCCACTTCTGATGGTGTGCATCACACAAGATGGCCCGGTGGAGTTCCTACTGGATTTCCTTTCATCTAACGGATGGGACAAGACGATCATTATGTAACTCTGGTCATCATGTAATGCTGGTGAGAAAGGACTTAACGGTTGGAGCCATGAATATACTAAATCCTAATGACTTTGGTGATCTCCTGACTTTTCCTTTAGCATCATCAACAGGTGGGTCAAGTCCAATACAGTCTTCGACACACCCTTCAGATGAAAAGGAGCATTTCTGACATTTCCCAAAATACCTTTTTTTCCTTCCTTTTAGTAATACAAAATGGTTAATAATAAGTTTTAAACTAGAGAACATTTTGCACTGGGATCACGCCAGCCGGGACACCAACTTGGACCAGTAGAGTAAAATGTGTGGGGGGGGGGAATTGTTCTTCCCTACTTCTTACGCCTCTACTGCCAGCACTCTTACTCAAATCCCACCCATCTTCAAACTCGGTCTTCATTTTGATCTCAGCTTAACACCTGTAAAGTGTTGTGACTGCATGTTGTACGGTTGTGACGTTATCGTAATGACAACATCTTTCCTAGCACACCTGGGAAAGTACTCAAAACCACTTCTCTGGTATTTCCAGCTACTGTAGGTGTATGCAGGACAACATTCTGCCATAATGACACACACACAGACTCACAAAGTGAAAACCGATACATCCACAGCTGATACCACTACGGCAACGTGATGTTAACCGCCCAGCTGCAACAATAACCCCATGCACAAACCGGTTAAATACGTCCAAACAAGCAGCCACCCATTCACCGGTCCAAGAGAGTTTGCAGCCACAATGTTGCATGCGTTGTTGTGGAGAGAAGCAGCCTTAAGGTGAACCAGCTATTCTCCTTTAAGTGACAAGCTGCTCCTCTTTTAACTTTTAACTGAAACTGCAGAGAACTAGTATCTGTTTGTATCAGGAAAACACAATGTTGAATGTCAGCAACATCATTATGTTCCATATCTTATTTGCCACAGTCAGAAAGGGAAGAAGAGCTGGTGATAATAAAACATGATTTCAAAGTTATTGTTAAAACTGGTAAAAGGGTATTGTTAAGTACTCATATCAATACTCTATATTGTCAATTACTCAAATGTAATTACTTGTACTTGGTCTGAAAAAAGTGGTATCAGTGTATCCCTTGTGAAAACAATACCAGCCACACACTGTCGCAGCACCAAATTAGACCAGGGGCGTAAAGTGGGGGGGGGGCAATGGCCCCTTACCCATTACCTAACCCCTTACTTCCGGCGCCTTTGCTCAGATCACCCCCATCTTTGAACTCGGCCCTCAGTTTAATCTCAAATACATACCTGTAAACCTTTGTGACTGGACCTTGCACAGTCAACAAAATGTGTCCACGGACAGGAAGACATATAAACACCTGGCAAAGAACTTTAAACAGCTTCTTTGGTAGTTCCCATTACAGAAGGTGTCTCCAGGACCACATTGTTCCATGCTGACAAAAAAAAACAACTCACAATACCAGCACCAGCCACACACTGTTGCGGCTGGTAATCAACCCACAGGACAATGCACAGCCACTGTCTGAAGTCTGTTGACACGGTTTGTACACCAGATCCCATGAAATGACAAAAACCAACAATGCATTACTCTAGCTAACAAGTATTGTCTCAGTAGTCAAAGACAATGGTGAGCGGCAGGACAGCGCCAAAACGTGTTGGAAATATTGTACATTGAGTGTGAATCTCAATGTACAATGTGTTGTGTTTGAATGTCAGTTTAGTCAGTCAGGTAAGATTTACTGAGATTTCATGTCTGTTTTTTGCCATATAAATATTGTACCTGTATGATCAAAGATCAACTTTACGCAGAGTAAACACAGGTTATTTATATTTAATGTCAGGGAGACACGTCTGAAGAAGCTTGTGTCCCGGCATTCATGTTCAACATTATGCCGTGGATTCAGGGCTTGATATGTAAAATATTTAATATTTAATGTTATTGTTGGTTTATGGCGAGAGAGGGATTTACGTACTTTTTAAAAAGCAGTCAGCATTTTGCTTGTCTGCAGGGAAGATCAGGTTGTTCATTTTCAACAGATACTCTGTAGGCCTTTGGTTAATTAAGTAGCTTTTTCACCTTTTAGATGAACTTTGTCATTTTACTTTTCCAGATTAGTTTTTGTTAAACCAAATCTCATACTATTTTTTACACTTTGTCCGTCCCACTCCACCAGACAGCATACTTGGGGCGGGGGCTTTGATTCAATTCATTCAAATTCAATTTATTCCATAAGACTAAATCAATGGGAAATACGGCATTTATTACTACTTTCTCTTCCCTCTTTATGAGGATTTAGAGATTACAATAGTGACTTTGTGTATCCACCATCCTCTTGGGATCTCTTTGTATTTTTGTAGGTTCAGAATGTTTTCTGAATTACTAATCTTTGGACGTCACATTATTATTTTACATATACCTTGATATATATGTATTCTATTTATTAATGTATAACTCATTTTAATATATGTGATTATCAGCTGGTTTTTAATCGAAAATGCAATTAAATATTCATATTTCTGATGACACTAATGCACATTCGGTTCTAAACTCACCACAAAATGAAACCTCTTTTTTTTTGATTGTTGTCACGTCACAAGACCAAATTAAAGATGTCATTTGACTTAAGTCTACGTAAGCCTGGTATTTGTCTCTGTCCCAGGAGATGGACCCCAAATTGAGTCTTTATCCGCCGTCATTGTACGGTGCAAGCGAGGGTCCGCCACAATTTGTTCAATCTGCTCAGTGTTTTCCTGGAGCTCTCTGATGGGATGAGCAGCAATTTTGTGGTCAAGGATTTATAAAGGATCCAAATGCTTAAAAAAAATTATAATAAAAGATGTGATGGTGGATGAGTTCTATTTTATCGAGTAAAGGATTTTTTTGTGAATACCGGTGGTTATTTCCTTTCTGTTGGTCAATGTGTATTTTTATAGCGCTGATGCAAGAATATCAAGACAAAGCTTTTGTCCTTTTGTACCCATAGTTTTTGGAGGGTCTTATGTCCTTGTGCGCTTTCTAAAGTGATGACTTTCAGCTTTCATTTTTGGGTGTTGAAATGTCGTTTAACACGTTTCATATAAACTGCAGTCCTCAAATTATTAATTGACTAACTGTAATAAAGAAGATCCTTTTAAGATCCCCTTAAAGTCCTCATCTAATATTTTGTAGTAAATCCTTTGGCTGAAGTCTATCACCTGTAATGCTTGGCCCGTTCTGCAGCCTCCCTCGATTTTTGCTTGTTTTGGAGGCTTTTTGCCTTCTGTCTGGTCTCAGATATCTGTGCCTTTTAAAGATGTATTATGAGCCTAATCAACAGACTCCCAACTGTCCACTTCTTCCACTAATTAGAGACTGCGCCATGTAAGCCGTGTTTGTGGCCTTTGTACAGCTCCAAGTGGAGCCAAGGCAGCACAAGACAGGCAGTGGGTTGCATCGGTAAACTTATGGGACTTAACTTATATAGATTATATAGATTGTAGTCACTTAAGGTGGGAGTCAGAAGCCAAGCAGCTAATATAGCTTAGAACCTTGATGATATCCCAATAAAAAAAACTGTATCAGCTGAGCATCTGTTCATCGCTAGAGGTTTGTTTCTTCATAAGATGTGACTATACTACAAAAAGCAAGATCACCGCCCTGTGAGATAGAAGATAGAAGAGATTGATCAAAGATTACAACAGAAGAAGAATAAAAAATGAGTAGAAGAAGTAGTACTAACACAAATGCAAAATAGAACAGCAATAAGAGTAGGATTAATTTAGTAACATAATTCAAATAAAATATTAAAAGTAAATTACAACATAAGAATAAAAAAAACCTGCAAAAATCAAAAGTGAATAAGAAGTTACACTGACACCAGTGCCTAATAGAAACTAAAAAAGAAAAGTTATATTGTGCATGATATTGACAGTAATATTAGCAATGATATTGACAATAAGTAATACTTATATATTGTATATATTATACATGATTGTATTGCACGTGATATGGATATCATTGTTTCAGCTGTCCTTCCTGCTGAAGGACGAATTATACAGTTTGATGTCCACTGGTATAGAAAAGACCTCCGTTATGGCTGTGCATCCCTCCATTATAACCACTGATCATGATACATTTTACTCACTCATATAGTCCCTCGGAAATACCTGTAGCTTTCAGTGGTGGAAAGTAAATAAGCACTTTTACTCGTGTACTGTACTGAAGTACAATTTTGTACTTAAGGACCTTACTTGAGTATTTTCATTGTATTTTACTTAATGCTTATCCTTTGCTACATTTCAAAGGGAAATATAATTTGTATTCATTACATTTGTCTGACAATTGTAGTTTATTTATTAAATTCATATTTTACATTCCAAAACATATTTTATGTGTAGTGGCTATTTGTCAAAGAGAAATAATCAAAGACAAAACTTACATCCAAAGGCCACTGATGCACCATTTCAGTTGGATTTTGAGGTATGTGTGGAATTCCAACTCTAAACAGGGAGAGTGAAGGAGCTTCACATTCTGCTTTTACTGTTTGGGGGGAACTTTACATAGATGATAGTTGTTTTCTACTTAATGTAGTTTAAGCTTAGATTTTCACATTCAGTGACTGACATAACATCAGTGAAGGAAAAATTACACATTTATAAATATCATAAAAACCGTGCCACAACCTACACTAGTAATCAAATGTTACCTCAGAGGAGCACGTCATTAACTGACTACGTATAGCTTTTTATGGTTACAGCTTGTGTGAAAATAGGCCCAGTTCAAGACTAGCGCATCCATTGTGCAGTAGACCCACTGTGTGTAAGACAATCCTGGATGTTATCAGAGTTTAGGATATCGTTATCATCTCTGTCCTGCTCTTTGTTGGATTGGATTTATTGGAACAACCCCAATCAAAGTTGAGCATAATGTTTACCAAACACAGGGGATAGTCCTCATCCTAAAAAGCCTTTTCTCATAATGTTACAAGTGAAAACTTTCTGATTGAAAATAACAACGGGCTATATTTCTGGGGCTCGGGTGTCCCCAGCAGATATCGGGGCCAAGACTTCCTTATTTGTTTGCTGCTGATGTTGACAGTCCGTTTAGCAACTTCAGATGCAAGACTGGAGTTGGAGTTGAGAGATGACGTTTGCAACTGGATTATTTCACAAGTGGCCTGTTTACAAGCTCATTTTAAACCAATAAAAGTGTAAGTCATTGCCAGAGGATAGCCGTTTGGTTCCCAGATTGCGTTTCGCCTCTTTTGCTCTCCACACGGACTGTTTACCCACATTCAACCAAAGCTTGCTCAAATGTGATTAGTCACTACTACACAGACTACTAATGGAAACCACAACGCTTCCGATGCCAAAATCTTGTCCCGTTGCCTCCAGATTCTTCAGGTGAATGCAGAATCTGTTTACAGACATCAAACCCAGAAAAATATGGATATCGTGGCTTTTTTGACTGACATCCCTTCACACCTGAATTAAATGAATATAAAGCTGCTGGGAAAATGAGAGAAGAACATGTATTTATTATCTGTAATTAATCAATTTTAAATCAGTGATAATAAATATTGTTTAGATATTATTCAGTTGAACTTTTTTTATTTGATTTGACACTCGGTTGTTGTCTACATACAGACGTTAATACAAATGTTGGCTACACATTGCACTAGATCGCAGCACAAATTAGACATTACTGTGATGTTCCGGACCTTTGCAATGAGGAAATTCTCTTTAACTGGAGCTCGCTGAATTTTACTTGAATGTTGACTTTCACACACACATTCACGTTGACATTCACAGACACCTCTTTGAGTGGTCGGAAGACTAGAAAGTCACGATGGGAATGCAAGATCGTTTACTTCAAGAGAAAGAAGTTTACAGACGTCTCTTTCCCAATGTAAGTCAATGGGGAGAAGTCTTTTGGGTTAATGTAAGATGCTATGTAAAATTAGCTTCAAAGCCCAGCGCTCCTACTCAAACTAAGTATTTCCTTCATGGTGAGACTTCAATGGATCCTAATAAATCCTCTAGATCCCTCATTTTGTCCCATTATTTCAACCTTTATCTTGAAACAATTTCTCAAAATATGACCTTTTTCTCCCTAAATATAGCATTTTCCATAATTTTGTGATATTAACATTACATTGTATTCTTGAGACATGACTTTGATTCTCAATAATACGGTTCTGTCTTCATTATGATTGCAGCTTTTATCATTTTGTTAATTCGTTTTTTTGGTCACTTTAAACTAACTCAACTGTACTATTATATAAATCAATTTTAATATTGAAAAATTACATTTACCTTACTCTTTGATTTGACATTACCATGGAACCAATCTCAACATATGGAATTCTCAACAGCCAATCACAGCAGAGTGGTCTCTGCTTCTGCCTGTGTGCTTCTGTATGACAGAGAACCAGTGAATCACATGACTGCTACCTTCCTCGTCACACCACCACCATCACCGTTTCTCTCCCTCTTTCTGCCTCCCTCCACCCTCTCTCCACTTCCCTCAGTAAGCTGACACTGCATTTACACGTTAGCTGCTTTTACCTCTAATAGGATCAGGGGGACTTAGATTGTCATCTGATAAAACTAAGCAGCTTGATAACTGCACTGCTGCTTCTTAACCAATTTATGTCCAATAAGGATAACAGAGAAACAGTGGAAGGACAAAAAATGTATTAACAAAATCATGAGGGGATAAACAAGCACCTTAGACTATCATTACTCTGTCAGCTTGCTAGCGGTGAGAGTCTTTTTGCAAACGGACTAGGGACTCCAATGAGAATGGCAAAATTATGTCATTATGGTACTCTCTGGTTTGGATGGCTTAGATTTAGATACTTATTCATGATGTTTATTTCTTTCTATATTTTGGTTATTTGATTATAAATTGCTGGTAATAAAAGTAGTTTAACCTAAATTAAGTCTGGGTTTTACAACCCCCACCGTCTGTGATTCCACTCCATTGTTGTCACTTGAATAATGTTTTATTATGATGTTATTTGTTGTTAAAATTATTTTTCTTTCTTGCCTGAACGATCTTGCCCAAATTGCCATTTTGTTTCACTTTATAACCACTGAAATCCATTTTGTTAAAATTGGTGATACATTTTGATGGAAACCTGGCTAAGTTTGATTCAAATGCCTGATCCAAAGAACCAACTTTACATTTTGTTTCTGAGCATTAGTGTTTCAAATATCTACTTTCCCCATGAAAACCTTTTTTTTTTTTTTATTATCTTCCTTTTTTCTCACAGCAGACTTTGTTTTGCATATTTTGTCATTTGCACACTCTAAAAGAGTCAACTGACTCAGCTGTTAAATATGCTTTCCAACTTCCCTTTAGATATGTTTTAGGTCACAGGTAATCTCTTTGCCGTCTTTAGAGTTGCGGTGGATTCCTGTGACATTAAGCCGAGTTCAAGTCTAGCGCTTTGAAGCTGCTAGCAGACACGTTTGAGCTGCTTCAACAAAGACACATCATCTGAGTATGAGATGATACAGAAGCAGCAGCAGACCTTTTGTGTCCGGTCAACATCAGCATCACAACCTGAAGGAGTTTATTGTCACCTAAAGCAGTTCACAACAGCTTTAAAAATGACTTGTGTTGCATCACCCTTTTCCTCCACCAGGTCAGTAAACTGGTCCAACACTGTCATCTGAGAATAATGGAGGTTCCTCCCAGAACACAAACACTTTAATTTTGTTTTACTAATTTAATATATTTATTCAGTTGTTCGGTTCTTATTTGCTCTTCTTTTCTAAGTTTGAAGAGTTCCCTACAGCCTAAGTTTAAATGACATTCAAACAATGTTACCGCAATGTTTCCCTAACAAATCCCTAATTGTTTTGATTAATTCTAAGTATTGTAATTAGAAGTAAGCAGCATTTATTACATAGTTTCCTGTCCGCGAGTAATTATCGTTCCAATTTACCTGCATGACATTTATTTATAATAGCTAATGACTATAAAACTCAAGAGTATTGATGTTGTGTTAAGGTTTTTAAATTCTGAAGTGTTTTTTGATTAGTTTCTTAATTATCTTAAAATATTTTGAAATATTGCAAAAAATAAGTTGCTGTATCTGGACCCTACTTATTTTTTTTGTTAATAAAGTTACATTTAATTTCGTTTTAGTGAATAATAAACAAGCATTTCAAATGAATTTATTTGGTCTTGTACCAGAATGTCAGATTGAACTAAGACGGATCACATGTAGGAAAGTCACAGACACTTAAATATTTTGGGGAAATTTAAGACAATCTTACTTTGTAATGTCATTTACAGTTTCATTCACAGTGGGGTATTAATGCAATTATTTATCACTCATACCTCTTTGAGAAAAGATGTTCTATTGTGAATTAATAGGTCAAGATAGTCTTTATGTTGATAGTAGTTTTAACATCATGTGATATCATTTGAAAGTTTCCCTTTTTAATGTAGATCCACATAATGGGGGGGGGGGGG